TAACAAATTGACTTGTGTTGTGTGTTGTGATATAGGTTTCTCAGATTATGTCATAGTTTTCTTTGAAAAAGTAAAATAAAAGAATAGGAAGGAAGGGGGCAAAAATCTGCTCTACCTCTGTCTTGTTTCTTTCCTTTTCTCTGGGGGATACTAGCAATGTATTTTCCATTGCCATTTAACTATGTGACTTGTATGAGTCTGTACAATGTCTTTACCACTTGCAACAAACCTAAATGAAAATCCTGGATGCAAACAGTGATGTCCATGGTCAAATGTTGTTGCTTGAATGCACCTCTGTCACTGATTTCATAACAATGCAGGAAGGAAAAGTACGGAAAATTATTTTATGGATGAAGGCTTGTTGTCTCCTAACTCCTGCATGTTTTACACTTTTTCTTCTGTTCGAAAGCACTCTATATGGCTGTGTCTTCCATTTGGCCAGTGAAGGTCAGATATATTCCTCTTCAGCCAGTTGAGTGAGGGTAGTATTGTGTTCCTACCTCCAAGAGGCTTAGGTACAATGGTGTCCTACCAGTTCTTCAGCCTTGTATACATTGCTGTGGGTAGGTCATAGCACCTGTGTTTAGACATGACTTAAGATTTTCTATCTTCTAAATATAGGGTGGGTAATTTTAATGAAGTTTGCCCCGTTCTTTTTCTAAACTTCTTGCCTACAATTGAACTTTTGTTTGTACTCATTTCTCCAGGAGATGCAAAAATAGGGAGCTTAAAGAGGCTACTTTACAAGTTTGCTGGTAGTTTTTCTAGTGACAGCTTTTTGGATTGTGAGATTTGGGTGTTGCTTCTTTTTTGGTGAGAGTATTCAGCACATTTTTCTGGTTATGTTGGCTCTTTCTTGATTTTTCAGTAAGAATCAGTTACTTCATGCTGTCCTTTCAGTAGTCTTCAGTGTGCTAAAATATTGAACATGTTGAATCTTTAACAATAAGAATGTCTTAGATAAGGGAAGGAAATGCTCTGATAAGTCAACTGCCTGTCTTGACAGACACCAATGCTTTAGCTTTAAAATATGTTAATTTTACTGATGAAGTCTATAGTTACCTAGATCTCTATTATTCTGCCTCAAAGATCTTCAGGCCCCTGCAGCATCACATTCTGGAATCTGGGGCCCAGAATGTGAAGCTGAATTGTTAATTAAAAGAAAACTTTTTTCCCCTTCAAAAAATATCACTTAATTGAATTAAGCAGTAGGTATGGGGGAAGAAGGAGTAACTTAAAGTTTTGCTGAAGCTTTGCTTCTCTGGACAGGAAATTCTTGAGAGGGAAACAATTTGAATAAACGTTTTAGAAGAAATATTCACAACATTTAAAATGAAAAAGTCTCTGGGGGAACTGGGAGGATTTCTACCTAAATATGCCAGACGGGAATTTCTCTTGTGAAATTTCCCTCAAAATATAGATTTTTTTGATCTGCTTTGTATGGAGACAGGTCATAGGCCTATTACATATAAGCAAGAATCAATCATAGTATGAAACAGAGACTAGAGGCATTCCCTTTGTACCTCACACCATCAAAGTGCCTTTTATTCAAATGCCCTACATGAAAATCAGTTCTCAAAATCCTCCTGGAAACAAAATCAATATAATATTTATTTAAACAAATATGGAAGAAGATGAAGGACATTTTTATACCTTCTAATGGAATTCTGTGCACAGATTGGTGGGCTAGCACTGACTCTATGCCAGTATGACATATGCTGAAATGTAGAACAAATTCAGATCAGTAGCTTGGACTAGAACTATTTGTTGGCCCAGAACCTCTGATAAGCTAATGGATATATACTGCTTGCAAATGCAACCAGTTTTATGTCAGCTAGCTCAACTTTTTTGTGAGGGTACTTCAGTTCCAGGATTACCTTCCCAAAATCTGGACCTCCTCTAAATGACTTGTCTAAATGCCAAAATGACAGAAGCAGAATTGAAAATGTCTGCTCCTGGCTGTTAACATAGCGATTGTATAGCCTATTTGTTCTTATTTTATTGTGCCATGGAAAAGGTTGTAATTATATGATTTTCTAGAATTGCAAAAAGGGGGAGAAAAAGACCATCTAATATCCAGTTAGAGACATAAAATATTTGGCTCCTAATTCTAGAGCAGTCTATAGGTAACAGTTTTCAAAATCTTGATTACAAAATTTTAGGACTTATGCTCTGTTTCCCTGTACCTGATATTTACTGTATGAATTGGAAACTGGCAAAAATCTTTTCCATAGTACAAAGGAGAGTCTGGATGAATTGGAAAGTACAACTTAATTGTGAACATAATTGCACTTCTTCCAGATAATTGCCATCGTAATTCAAGCAAGACAGCTTCTAACAGTTAGGTCAGATTTTTAATTTTATGATCTAAATTATTAATGAGAATATTTCCATAATCTTTCTGCATAAAAATTGACTTCATAACAGAGAGGTCAGCTGGCCATGTCTTGTAGCCTTTCTGATTATCAGTGATAATCAGAAACTGTTTTCCTATAAATTTGTGCTGCTTTTATGCTTCCTGACATACACATGAGATGTAGGTGGAGAATTACTTAAAAGCTTTATGAAGCAAAAATTAATTTTGTAGGTTCTAGTTGAAAGAAAATTAAATTAGACTATGCATGTAGGGTTAAGAAACATGAAGGGTTAAATAACAGGTGTACACAGGAAAAGTATTTAGCTTTTTTTTTCTTCTTTTTGAGCGATTTAATACTTTGGGAATATTGAAAGCCATATTGAGTCAATTATAGAAAGCCCAATGCAGGCTACTTTTCACAGTGTGGCTGCAGTCACACAAAATGGTATGATGCATAAAGACGACAAGCAGATCAGCACAAGAATGCATAATGCTATTGTATAAATCAGTAGTGTTTCCACATCTGATAGGCAGTTGTGTTGAATACAATATATCTTGAGACTGATACAGTGGTAATATAAGGGGACTTGAGGCAAGTGTTGAGGGTGGTTAGGACTATAAAGATTTTTATAAGAGGAGACTGAAAGCTTGAGATTATTTATGCACAAGATAGATTGGAAACTTCTATAACCTGTCTCCTAAAGCAAGATTTAGGCACATATCCTGTACCATCAAACAGAATAAATTCAAAACAGATAAGATTTTTGGTTTTTTTCCTGAAACACAAAGGAAAGACAGATTTCAAGGACACAAAGACTGAAATTTAAGAAGATTCAGAAAGACATTTGACACCTTTCTCAACGAGAATTTTAAACAATCATATGCTTTTTTTAGAAAAGACAGTTTTTAAAAGAAGTGCCTGAGGCAAACATATACTTTTAATATAATGGTTTTTACATCTTCTTGTGATGTATCTTGGCTGGGCAGCATTAGAAATGTTGAGTTAGAGTCCATATATTGGAAAAAATAGACAATTATTTTTATTCAGGAAATGCTGCTTAGAGTGGTCTCAATATATAGAAGGGAAAGGTAGGAAGAGACAAATTGCAAGGGATCATAAAGCATAGTATGTCTTTGAGCACTACAATAAACAGGCTATTCAGTCTTGCTACAGTGCAGTTACCTGCGGTAGTAAATCTGCCAGACACTGCTATGCTATAAGGAAGAAAAGGGGCTGAAGTAAATTCAGTCTGGCAAAGCCACAAGTAAGAGAAGCTGGTAATAGCCTGCACATGCCTCGAAGGCATTAGGGTCTAAAATGGAGGCAAAGTGATTGGTGTGATTCACAAGTGTCTGACAGAGAACAATAAAATGAAATGAAGCGAGAGTCTATGAGGAAAATGTCTGACTGGTGAGATGTTTATAAGCCGTGGACACCCTCCCATGGGAATGTGAGGGACAGCCCATGAGCTGGGATTATGAAAAATGCATTGACTAACAAATGAGAAAATTTTATCAGTCCCATAAGAGCAGAGAACTGAAGGGAATGGTTCTATGAGAATCCATGTCTCTACCACCTATGATGCCCTTTTTAATACTCTGAAGACTTCCTATTGAAATTCTCGTGGAAAGGTTGCCACTCATTTCAGTCAAGGTGGATCAAAACTTTAATACTAATACAGGCTATGTTTATCATAGTAATTTGTCTAGAAGCAAAGGTAGCAGTGCATAAAAAATGGTTATACCAGTGTGAGGATCATGGGAAAATAGGTATTCAGTACTCCTTTAGCTGTGTGCTTGGAGCTGTAGAGATAATGCATAAGCTGAATCTCTGTTTTCCCTTATAGAAAGAGTTAATTAGTTGCACTGGGGGGGGGGGGAATT